CCCCCAGTAAAACACTCCCTGCACACATTTAACCTTTTTATCGCCCTCATGTTAACCCCTTCCTGCCCAGTAAACAACACAGGTCTCTCTCCTGACAGCAAGGACATGCTGCTTTGTATTTCTCTGCACAGCATGTCTCCCTAGTAAAACGGCACACAGTTAACCCTTTGATCGCCACAGATGTTAACCCTTTCCTCCCAGTGCCATTAGTACAGTGTCAGTGCTTTTTTTTTAGCACTGGTCACTGTATTGGTGCCACTGGGGATGTCAGTGACACCAAGGCAGTTCCCCCCCCCCCCCAGTGTCAGAATGTCTGCCGCAGTCCCGCTATAAATCGCTGATCACCGCCATTACTAGTAGAAAAAAAACATTTAAAAAAATTTTAATATCTATACCGCCATTTGTAGACTCTCTAACTTTCATGTAAACCAATTAATTTACACATATTGGGATTTTTTTTTTTTCAGCAAAGACACGGAGCAGAGTACATTTTGGCCTAAATTTATGACAAAATTTGATTTTTAAAATTTTTTTTACTGGACATGTTTAATAGCAAAAAGGTCAAAAATATTGTTTTTTTTTTCTCAAAATTGTTGGTCTTTTTTATACACACATGTACATACACATGGACACACAGACCCATGTACACACAGACACATGTTCGTACATACACGTAAACACACACACACACATGTACATACACACAGACACATGTACATACATACACATGTACATACATACACAGACACATGTACACACAGACCCATGTACACACAGACACATGTACATACATACACAGACCCATGTACACACAGACACATGTACACACAGACACATGTACATACATACACACAGCATGTACACATGTACGTACATACACACAAACACACACATGTACATACACATGGACACATGTACACACAGACACATGTACATACATGTACACAGCCACATGTACACACAGACACATGTACGTACATACACACAAACACATACACATGTACATACACATGGACACATGTACACACAGACACATGTACATACATACACAACCACATGTACACACAGACACATGTACGTACATACACACAAACACACACACACACACACACATGTACATGCACACACACATAGACACATGTACACACACACATACATGTTCATACACGCAGACACATGTACAGATACACACATGTACATACACACAGACACATGTACATGCATACAGGGGCGGACTGACCATTTGGAAACTCGGGCACTGCCCGAGGGCCCGGGGTCAGTAGGGGGTCCCATGAGATGCCCCTGGTTCCTTTTTCATAGGCTTTTTTTTGAGTTTGGGCAAGGACACAGGGGCCCCATGATCCCCTATTGCCCGGGGGGCCCCATGAGTTGTCAGTCCACCCCTGCATGCATACACAGACACACGCACACACACACCCTATAAAAAGTTGAAGTACTTCGTTGTTCACTCACAGAGCTGGGTACTGCACTCTAGGGGGAGGCAGAGAGCACAGCACACACTCCTTGCTCTGCTTTCACTGCGCTCAGCTATTGAGCACTCTGACGGCTCCCAGTGCCAATGATAGATCCGGCCTGAGCTCCGAGCCTGCTCAGCAAGACGGCCCTGGGGGACACACTCGCCTCCACCATAATTTCCACACACTCGCCCCCCCCACCAAATTTTCACTCGCCTGCTCACAATTGGTGAGCAGGTGAGTGGAAATTTCAAGGCCTGCCCTAGTGCATCAGTTCACTTCATAATTGGTGAGTGAGTGGCATATTTATCCACTGAATGCGCTGAGGATAATGATTAGTCACAACGTAGATATATTTGGTATGAGTTATATTGGGTTATAATACCGTTTTGAATGATTATATTTGGTTTCCCGCTATAAATTACGGCAATATTTAGGGTAGCGCTGCACCGTATATTTTTTTATAACCTGTAATTATCCATTTGGTATATGGTTGGGTGTTAGCAGCCCCCTCCTCTGAATTATCATTTGATTTATGTAGTAGCGCAGGAGGTCCTTACTGTGTTTTTCTATACGGAAGTTCGTTGCCATCTCACAATCGCATGCAATTTTAAGCCTTGACATGTTGGGTATCTGTTTACTCGGTGCAAACTCTTCTTTTTTTTATTTGATCAAAATATCGAGTAATTTACTGTGTTTGTGTGCCCTAAAGTTAAAGCGATACTAAGCCCGGGTTCACACTTCTGCGGTGCGGCATATCACATGTGATTCGCACAGGAACCGCACCGCATTCCTGTGCCAATCACATGCGATCTGTGTGCGGTGCGATTGGAGCCGTACATTTTGTATGGCTCAGATTGCACCGCATCCACAGTAAAAAGGTGCAGGACCCTTTTTTTTTTGTCTGCACTAGAATTGGATCGCACGGGTATTCACACCTATGAGATCTGATTCTGCACATCGCAAACCGATTTGTTGCTAATTTAACTTACACACCCACAGCGGTTCGCATGAATGGGGTGCGATTATGATGCGGCTCGGAATTCGCACAGAAAACCGCTGCAAATTTCGCACTGCATGAATGTGAACTTGGGCTTAAGGTTTTTTTTTTGTAAAATAACAAACATGTCTATACTTACCCGCTGTGTGCGGTGGTTTTGCACAGAGCAGCCCAGATCCTCCTCTTCTCGGGTCCTCCACTGGTGCTCCTGGTCCCTCCCTCCAGTCAGGTGCCCCCACAGCAAGCAGCTTGCTATGGGGGCACCCGCTGCTCCGTGTGTCCATTCGCACACAGAGCCACGGCTTGGCCCCACCCTCTCTTGTCTTCTCATTGGCTGACTGGCTGTGATTGACACATGGCTCCCGCTTGCTGTCTCAGCCAATGAGGAGGCAGAGACCCGGGACAGCCGAATCTGTCATGCACATTGCTGGATCTCGATGAGGCTCAGGTAAGTATTGAGGGGGCTGGGGGCACTACTGCATAGAATGCATGAAGGTTAAAAACCTTCAGCCTTTACAACCGCTTTCACGTAGGTGTATTTTTACTGACATTTTGCGTTTTATAAACCATCGCACTAATATCATGTGACGTGAATAATTAGAACCACTGCTATTTTATTCTCCAGGGTGTCTGCTTTCAGAAAACATATAAGGGGTGGATTTACTAAAGGCAAATAGACTGTGCACTTTGCAAGTGCAGTGGCACTCATTTTCCTTAGCGAATGTAATGCGGTGAATCTTCACTTTGTAAAGAATATCCAATCAGGTGATAGAAAAAAATAAATAAATAAAAACAAACTTTTACTTGCACATGATTGGATGATGGAAATCAGCAGAGCTTTACCACATTTACTAAGCTCTGGAGCAACTGCACTTGCAAAGTGCACAGTCTATTTGCCTTTAGTAAATCATTATGCTTGGCGGCTTTATGTAATCTTCAGGTTTAAAGGGATTCTAAAGGTTTATTTTTTTTTAAGAAAAAATAAACATGTCTGTACTTACCTGCTGTGTGTAGTTGTTTCGCACAGAGCAGCCTGGATCCTCCTCTTCTTGGGTCCCCCGCAGGCGCTCCTGGCCCCTTCCTCCTGTCTCCCCCCTCCGCAGCAAGCAGCTTTCTATGGGGGCACCGGGTGTCCATTCACACACGAGCCGTGACTCAGCCCCGCCCTCTCCCTCTTCTCATTGGTTTACTGGCTGTGATTGATAACAGTGGGAGCCATTGGCTCCCGCGTCTGTCTCAGCCAATGAGAAGAGGGAGTCCCAGGATAGCCGAGACTTCAGGGCACATCGCTGGATTGAGAGGGGGCTTAGGTGAGTATTAGGGGGGCTGGGAGGGGATGCTGAGTCTTAGGGGAAGCCGGGGGGGGATGCTTAGTATTAGGGGAAGCTGGGGGGAGGGGGGGATGCTGAGTCTTAGGGGAAGCTGGGGGGGATGCTGAGTCGTAGGGGAAGCTGGGGGGGGGATGCTGAGTCTTAGGGGAAGCTGGGGGGGATGCTGAGTATTAGGGGGGCTGGGGGGGATGCTCAGTATTATGGGTATTGGGGAGAATGCTGATTATTAAGGGGGGGGGGGATGCAGCACAAAGAAAGTTTTTCATCTTCATGCATAGAATGCTTGAAGGTAAAAACCTTGAGACTTTAGAACCACTTTACCTCTTCCAGTCCAGCCCATGCCAATAAATGGCCGGGGCGGGGAGCATTGCCAATGCGGGGGGACGTTTCTAAACCTCCACCCGCATCCATTGCCTGTGCACGCAGGACTTCAGAGGAGATCGCTGTACGTGGCCACTGTGCGAGGTCCCAATTCATGTGATCAGTGATTGGCCAATCAGTGACCACATGAACCGTAGTAAACAAGATGTCACTTCTGACATCATTGCTTACTACGTGTGAAATCTGTGAATGATCACAGAGGTCACATGGTACAGGGCTATTCACAACAGTCTTGTACCATGTGACAAGCTGTGACCAATCACAGCTCTCACAGTATTTCTCATTGGCTGCAGGAATGCAGCCAGAGAGAAGGAGAAACGATTGCTTTTACAGCCTCTATGGGTGTAAAAGCAATCAGTGTAAAAAAAAAAAAAATCTTCATTACCCCCCCCCCCCACAAATAGTACAAGTGGAGTGATGGTATGTAAAAAGAATAAATAAATACATAAATAATAATATAGAAAAATTTAAATGTAATTTTTTTTTTAATTAGATTTTTTTTGCTAGGGTGACAGTATATAAAAAGAATAAATACATAACTAATATTATAAAAAATAAAAAACAAATTTTTTGAAAAACCTATATTTTTTTTTTATAAACTGATTTGGGTTATTTTTTTTTTTTTGTACCAAAAAGGTAGGTGAATACATTTTGGCCAAGATTTATGAAGAAATATTATTTATTTGCAAAATCTTATTTTAATTTAATTTTTTTTTTCAAAATTTGTGGTCGATTTTTCATTTATATAGCAAACAAATAAAAATCCCAGTGGTGAATAAATACCACCAAAAGAATGTTTTATCTGTCTAAAAAAAAAAATGCAAAAAATTTCATATGGGTGCAGTGTTGCATGACCGCGCAATTGTCATTCAAAGTGCGACAGCGCTGAAAGCTGAAAATCGGCCTGAACTGGAAGGGAGTGAAAGTGTCTGGACTGGGAGGGGGTGAAAGTGTCCGGACTGGAAGGGGGTGAAAGTGTCCGGACTGGAAGGGTGTGAGAGTGTCTGGACTGTTAGGGGGTGAAAGTGTCCGGACTGGAAGGGGGGGTGAAAGTGTCAAGACTGGGAGGGGGTGAAAATGTCCGGACTGGAAGGGGGTGAAAGTGTCCGGACTGGGAGGGGGTGAAAGTGTCCAGACTAGAAGGGGGTGAAAGTGTCCGGACTGGAAATGGGTGAAAGTGTCCAGACTGGGAGGGGGTGAAAGTGTCCGGACTGGGAGGGGGTGAAAGCGTCCAGACTGGAAGGGGGTGAAAGTGTCCGGACTGGAAATGGGTGAAAGTGTCAAGACTGGGAGGGGGTGAAAATGTCCGGACTGGAAGGGGGTGAAAGTGTCCGGACTGGGAGGGGGTGAAAGTGTCCGGACTGGAAGGGGGTGAAAATGTCCAGACTGGGAGGGGGTGAAAGTGTCCGGACTGGAAGGGGTGAAAAGTGTCCATACTGGGAGGGGGTGAAAATGTTCAGACTGGAAGGGGGTGAAAATGTCTGGACTGGAAATGGGTGAAAGTGTCCAGACTGGGAGGGGGTGAAAATGTCCAGACTGGAAATGGGTGAAAGTGTCTGGACTGGGGGAAATGGGTGAAAGTGTCCGGACTGGGAGGGGGTGAAAGTGTCCGGACTGGAAATGGGTGAAAAGTGTCAAGACTGGGAGGGGGTGAAAGTGTCCGGACTGGGGGGGGGTGAAAGTGTCCGACTGGGAGGGGGTGAAAGTGTCCGGACTGGAAGGGGGTGAAAGTGTCCGGACTGGGAGGGGGTGAAAGTGTCCGACTGGAAGGGGGTGAAAGTGTCCGGACTGGGAATGGGGTGAAAGTGTCCGGACTGGGAGGGGGTGAAAGTGTCCGGACTGGGAGGGGGTGAAAGTGTCCGACTGGGAGGGGGTGAAAGTGTCCGGACTGGGAGGGGGTGAAAGCGTCCAGACTGGGAGGGGTGAAAGTGTCCAGACTGGAAGGGGGTGAAAATGTCCGGACTGGAAATGGGTGAAAGTGTCCAGACTGGGAGGGGGTGAAAGTGTCCGGACTGGAAATGGGGTGAAAGTGTCAAGACTGGGAGGGGTGAAAGTGTCTGGACTGGAAGGGGGTGAAAGTGTCCGGACTGGAAAGGGGGTGAAAGTGTCCGGACTGGAAGGGGGTGAAAGTGTCTGGACTGGAAGGGGGTGAAAGTGTCCAGACTTGAAGGGGTTAAATTGTCTTTCTTTTATATACTGTGCTAAAAAAAAAAAAAATATGCAGAAACAGTTAAACTATCCATTGTATTGGTTGATATTGGTAGCTCCTCATTTATACAGTTTTTGATCAGTCAGCCCTACTAGGACTACACCGCGGAGCACTTTATCAGAAGGCGGTAAGTTCCCGGGTTTGCCTGACAAGTAGACTGGGGAGTTGCTTACAGGAAAGAAAACCGATGCTGGCAGAAAAATCCTATTTAATGTATTTACTATTCCATGGTCAGAAGTGAAAAGTATTATTTCATGGGGCTGCAGCCTCCTTGGATTGCTCGTATTACATATTATTAGACAAATCCGGATCAGTCGGCGGTGAATAGGCAGAAGGACGCTGAGCACATCCATTTGGATTCAGGTGGAATATTTCCTGTTAAATATTATCTTGTTGGACCTTGGGATGGTGACCAGCAGGTGATCTTTGGACAGGTCTCACTATTTCCCCACCGAGGACCTTTTTGTTTTGAAGTCAGTAATTATATTTTGCTCTAATGTGACGTCATCGTTCTATTGCCTCTGAATTCCTGATGTGAAAATATTAGTCACCGCAACCGTCTTAATAGCATAATTTCTTTTTTCTATGGTTGAACTGGATGGACTTTTGTCTTTTTTCAGCCAGACTAACTATGTAACTATGGGCTCCTGGGCAAAGTAATGCACTGGGGCCCCTACTAACCTGCCCCAATTTATGCATCTACTCTCAATAAATAGTTGATAGAATTAAATATGCGGTATATTTATTAGTAGTTTCAATGAAAATCGATTTTAATCAATAAAAAAATGCCATAAATCAAAGACTAATTAACACAAGGGGCACAGGACTGGGTGGGGGGAGGCAGAAGGGCACAGTACAGGGAGGAGGCAGAAGGGCACAGTACAGGGGGAGGCAGAAGGGCACAGTACAGGGAGGAGGCAAAAGGTCACAGTACAGGGAGGAGGCAGAAGGGCACAGTACAGGGGGAGGCAGAAGGGCACAGTACAGGGGGAGGCAGAAGGGCACAGTACAGGGGGAGGCAGAAGGGCACAGTACAGGGGGAGGCAGAAGGGCACAGTACAGGGGGAGGCAGAAGGTCACAGTACAGGGGGGAGGCAGAAGGTCACAGTACAGGGAGAAGGCAGAAGGGCACAGTACAGGGGGAGGCAGAAGGGCACAGTACAGGGAGAAGGCAGAAGGTCACAGTACAGGGGGAGGCAGAAGGGCACAGTACAGGGGGGAGGCAGAAGGGCACAGTACAGGGGGAGGCAGAAGGGCACAGTACAGGGGGGAGGCAGAAGGGCACAGTACAGGGAGGAGGCAGAAGGGCACAGTACAGGGGGAGGCAGAAGGGCACAGTACAGGGAGGAGGCAGAAGGGCACAGTACAGGGAGGAGGCAGAAGGGCACAGTACAGGGGGGAGGCAGAAGGGCACAGTACAGGGGGAGGCAGAAGGTCACAGTACAGGGGGGGCAGAAGGGCACAGTACAGGGAGGAGGCAGAAGGGCACAGTACAGTGAGGAGGCAGAAGGGCACAGTACAGGGAGGAGGCAGAAGGGCACAGTACAGGGGGAGGCAGAAGGGCACAGTACAGGGGGAGGCAGAAGGTCACAGTACAGGGGGGAGGCAGAAGGTCACAGTACAGGGAGAAGGCAGAAGGGCACAGTACAGGGGGAGGCAGAATGGCACAGTACAGGGAGAAGGCAGAAGGTCACAGTACAGGGGGAGGCAGAAGGGCACAGTACAGGGGGGAGGCAGAAGGGCACAGTACAGGGGGAGGCAGAAGGGCACAGTACAGGGGGGAGGCAGAAGGGCACAGTACAGGGAGGAGGCAGAAGGGCACAGTACAGGGGGAGGCAGAAGGGCACAGTACAGGGAGGAGGCAGAAGGGCACAGTACAGGGGGGAGGCAGAAGGGCACAGTACAGGGGGAGGCAGAAGGTCACAGTACAGGGGGAGGCAGAAGGGCACAGTACAGGGAGGAGGCAGAAGGGCACAGTACAGGGGGGAGGCAGAAGGGCACAGTACAGGGAGGAGGCAGAAGGGCACAGTACAGGGAGGAGGCAGAAGGGCACAGTACAGGGGGAGGCAGAAGGGCACAGTACAGGGGGGAGGCAGAAGGTCACAGTACAGGGGGAGGCAGAAGGGCACAGTACAGGGGGGAGGCAGAAGGGCACAGTACAGGGAGGAGGCAGAAGGGCACAGTACAGGGAGGAGGCAGAAGGGCACAGTACAGGGGGGAGGCAGAAGGGCACAGTACAGGGAGGAGGCAGAAGGGCACAGTACAGGGAGGAGGCAGAAGGGCACAGTACAGGGGGAGGCAGAAGGGCACAGTACAGGGAGGAGGCAGAAGGGCACAGTACAGGGGGAGGCAGAAGGTCACAGTACAGGGGGGAGGCAGAAGGGCACAGTACAGGGGGGAGGCAGAAGGGCACAGTACAGGGGGAGGCAGAAGGGCACAGTACAGGTTTTGAGACACTGCCTGGGCCATCCTGGGAAAGCTTAGTAAAAAGCGTGACTGTCCCTGCAAATCCGGGACAGGTGGCAAGTATGATAATGCAAGATTATCATGGGGGCCCCATGCTCTATGGTGCCAGGCAGTGAGCACAGGGCCCACTAGGGGACATCGGCCCCTCAGGCCACCCTCATGAAGTCTGTCTCTGATTGTTTGGTCAGAGACATTCACACCAGTGGCCTGCTGGAGGTCATTTTGTAGGGCTCTGGCAGCGCTCATCCTGTTCCTCCTTGCACAAAGGAGCAGATACCAGTCCTGCTGAGGGGTTAAGGACCTTCTACGGCCCTGTCCAGCCCTCCTAGAGTAGCTGCTGGTCTCCTGGAATCTCCTCTATGTTCTAGAGACTGTGCTGGGAGACACAACAAACCTTCTGGCAATGGCACATATTGATGTGCTATCCTGGAGGAGTTGGACTGCCTGTGCAACCTCTGTAGGGTCCAGGTATGGCCTCATGCTACCAGAAGTGACACTGACCCTAACCAAATGCAAAACTAGTGAAAAACAGTCAGAAAAGATGAGTATGGAAAAAAATGTCAGTGGCCTCCACCTGTAAAACCATTCCTGTTTTGGAGGTTGTCTCATTGTTGCCCATCTAGTGCACCTGTTGTTAATTTCAGTAACACCAAAGCAGCTGAAACTGACCTGAAGCTATACTCTGATTAAAAAGTGTTCCTTTAATTTTTTGGAGTATTGTGTGTGTATATATATATATATATACACACACACACGAGACACGAGGAGCATTCAAGTCAAACTGGGATTTTTGCATTTTTTATAATAATTATAATAAAAGAAGAAATTTCTATGAGTGGAAACTGCATTTATTTTCCAACACTTACTACTGCGTGTAGTACCACCACGCTAGAACCCCTTTTTTATACCTGGAAAATTCAAAGTCCCGGTTTGACTTGAACACCCCTCGTATAAAAGAAAGGAGAAGCTTCATGGTGCAGTAAATTTAAAACATGTTTAATAATGGAATATTACACTGACAATAGCAGCAGTAAAGTACACAGCGTAAAATCCAACTCATCCAAGCACATCGGCGAGCGTGTGCGATGACGTCGATGACGTCACTCAATCGGGCTCCACCTGACATGTTTCACCCAAAAGGGCTTTCTAAAGAGAAAGGAGGCTGAATCGCATCATAAAAACTATAAGTGGGGATAAAAAAAAAAAAACAAGGATTTGGCTGGAGTTCCACTTTAATATAATCTGGTATTATCTAATTTCCCATGAGTTATGAGTAAGCATGATTTATGGAAGATTAGAAGGATGATAATGGATGAAGGCTGTCCCAGCTGGAGCTGTTTGGATTTGTAAAGATAAACCAATACACTGATATTTATAGTAAGTCTTATAATAAGTCTTGGATCGTGTTTACCTGGTTTGGTGTCTTCAATTTTTGCCATTTTGCATATTTGTATGTTTATATGATTATGCTAAAAGTGACTGTTGTGGATTTTTTAAAAATAATTATATATTTTTGTACAAATAGTTTATAACAATAGGTAAAATGGGGTCCATCTAGATATATCTATTTTGCAATCAACTTTTTAAAAATGTAAACCAATATAATAATTTACAGACAAATATAAGAAAACATATCTGCTCCTTGTTGAAATTGTGATGTAGCCCAATCCCAAACATAAGAATGGTGAGAGTAAGGTGGGTTGCATGACATGATGGTATAGAGGCGGGGAATGATTTTGTTACAT